TTTGCCCTAGTCATTGGACTGTCAATTCCGTGCAAAGGATGTTGAGAAAATTTGGGAGCATCAACTTGGTCAGCACCTTGACCACCTCCATTAGGAAGGTTTGAAATGATTATGAATCGCTATCCTCAAATGGTATTTGCCACCATCGGGGTAAGTACTTGAAGATATTATAGCAAATAGTTTGTAGGAGTAAACAAAGTTTAATCCAAATTTGAATCAAGCAAAACAAAACTTGGAAAAAGGAACTAAAGAACAAAATTGTAAAAACTTGGTTTGATTTTAGATTTTGGATGTAATGGAATCAATATGATGTTTGTGATATGATCTCAATCATGGAAATTACTCATATATATAGAATTACAATCATCATACACGAAAAAGTGCAAAAACCGCAAAAAAGGGTGTAAAACCACAACACCAGAATTCAAAAACCTAATGGGCAAATTTTTTGTACTAGACGCCCACCTAGTTCAACAGAATGGCCACCGTAATGAAAACACAAGGCCAGGTGAAGCCTGGGCGGCTGTCCATGCCATTTTTCTGCCTTTACTATTTTTTGTTTTCACCTATTTTTTCTCATGGTTGACCACTTCCATTATTTCCAAAATCATTCATCATTGTTAATTGAATAATGCTATTTATTTCTTGTGATGATACCGGTGAAATCATACGCACAAGTATCAATTGTTCTGAGTTCAACACAATCTTGTTTAGCGCTTTTATAGCCTTGCACTTTTCCTATTCATAAACTTTTAATAGAGAAACTCTAACTCTTTACTGGAGTGGCACCACCTCGAAGTTTATATAGGTAAAGTTCTTGCAGTATCTTTGTCACTTTTATATGTACTTGATCCACCGATTTGAACTTTATTAAGAGTTATAGAAACTCAGCCCTCCTATTCGCGACAATCAGCACTTGTAATCTAGGGTAGGGTTTTAAAAGAAAAAAATTAGTTCTAAATCTATCCACTTATCGAATGATTTGTTGTTACCTTTTGAACCCGAAGTATACTTGTTAGTATAGCGTAGGGTTGTTGTCATTGGTGGATTTAATTACTGAGTTTTAACCGCATCTTACTAGTTGTTGTTCACACTAATTCCCTTGTGAGCGGTTTAGTGAACGGAGCAGCCAAATTCTCATTTGACTTCACATAAATAAATGAAGTTATTCCATTTTTGATTAATTTCGTCACATAGTCATGTGACGCATGTACGCATTGTACGCATTGTATATTAAATCATTCAGCTTCCTTTCCGGTTTCAGCCAATGCCACAAATTTAGATTCCGTAGTTGAGTTAGATATGTTTGTTTCTTGGATTTCCAATAGACGACACCTCCTCCAAGGGTAAATATCCAACCTGAGGCTGATTTATTCTTACCAACACTAGATATCCAACTAACATCGATAAATCCTTCTAGTATTGCCAGAAATTTAGAATATTGGAGACTTAAATCCTTGGTTTTCTTCAAATAAACAAAAACCCTCCTGGTAGCATTCAAATGTATATTGGGATTGCTAGTAAACCGACCAATTTACTAATTGCAAATATTGTACATTGCACAGTCTAATACTAATACTTACTTCCATACTCAGGTTGTGCTATCGCTCTTTTAACCTTCTTTATAAGTTTTAAACCGACTAATTTACTAATTGCAAATATTGTACATTTCACAGTCTAATACATTAGACTTCTGATAGAACTTGCATTCTCAAGTTGTGTTTTCGCTCTTTTAACATTCTTTATAAGTTTTAAACTTATATCGAATGAAGTGTTAGCCCCTTTATTGTTTAAGTTTTTGAACTTATTAATCACATTCTCAACATAATGTGATTGGCTCAACATATAACCCCACTAGTTTTGGTGACTTTGATACCTTGCATATGGTATCCATTTGACCAATATCTTTCATTTTCAATGTGGAAGATAGAAACCTCTATGTTTCTTTTATACCTTGCATTCGATTACTCAGAATCAACAAGTCATCCATGTATAAACAAATGAGCATGATATGATTATCACATACTTTTGAATATGAACATTTAAACACTACTATGTTTAAATCCAAAAGATATGTCACTATTGCTCTTATTGGATCCTTTTGGACCAATATGTAGTAAAGCAATAAAGTTAGTGGCAAAATGAGTGAGAGCAGGTCATAGTATTTCTTTTCCTCCGGTAAACTTCCTCATCAAATGCCATTGTAGCAATGATTGTATATGTATTTTGTGATTTTTGATGCATGAGATACGATATTACTAACTTCATCAAGCTTACCAATATCATGAAACATTATATTAATGCAATGGGTTACACATGGAGACCAAAATAATGTTTGAAACTTTTGCTCCAATAACCTACCAGCAGCCACATAATTTGCAGCATTGTCTGTCACAATATGGACCACATATTCTGAACCTACAAATAACACAACATCTCGAAATAATTTTTATAACATGTCAGCTGATTTTGATTCATTTGAAGCATCTACGGATTTTAAGAATACTATTCCTTTTGGACAATAAACTAAAAAATTAATGAGAGTTCTTCTACATTGATCTGTCCAACCATCTGTCATAATTGTACAACCTTTAGTTTTGCATGTTGAACGATAGCTTTCAACATAATTCTGCAGGCTTGACATTTTTAGACAACAAATATCCACGAAGACTATGAAAGTTCGAACCTTTATAGCCAGGGCCCATGCTAGCTATGGCATCTATACTTTGTTTCAATCATCCACTTTGAAAAACGCTTTTGATAGTAGGTTGGTTGCCAAGACACATTGTTCTTGGCATGA